AGTAACACAAGTGTTACGGAGGGGGGGTTTCCCTTTGTGCCCCTTGTATGCTCGGTTATACAAGGTATCTCGAATAAGCTAAACTTTTAATTTATTTTTATTACTTGATTATGCCATTATTGTCACACCTTGTGTCATTATTGTCACACCTTGTGTCATTATTGTCACACCTTGTGTCATTATTGTCACACCTTGTGTCATTATTGTCACACCTTGTGTCATTATTGTCACACCTTGTATCATTATTGTCACACCTTGTGTCATTATTGTCACACCTTGTATCATTATTGTCACACCTTGTGTCATTATTGTCACACCTTGTATCATTATTGTCACACCTTGTATCATTATTGTCACACCTTGTCATTATTGTCACACCTTGTATCATTATTGTCACACCTTGTAACTTTAGGTGCCTGTCCATTGCCTTCTTAAAAGACAGCCAGGACTGTATTGGTAATCCCCTTTATGTAGGCTGGGAGGCAGTTGAACAGTCTTGGACCCCGGACACTTACCGTGTTGTCTCTCAGTGTACTTGTGGCGCCCCTGCTTTTCATCGGGGGAATGTTGCATCTCCTGCCGAGTCTTTTGCTTTCATATGGAGTGATTTTCGTGTGCAGGTTTGGTACCAATCCCTCCAGGACCTTCCAAGTGTATATTATAATGTATCTCTTTCGCCTGCGTTCAAGGGAATACAGTTCAAGGATCTTCAACAGTTCCCAGTAGTTTAGGTGCCTCATCGCACTTATGTGTGCCGTGAAAGTTCTTAGTACACTCTCCAGGTCTGCAATGTCTCCAGCCTTGAAGAGGGCAGTTAGTGTTCGGCAGTATTCCAGCTTTAGAGCACAAGCGATTTGAAGAGAATCATCATGGGCTTGGCGTCCCTAGTTTTGAAGGTTCTCATTATCCATCCTATCATTTTCTTAGCGGATGAGGTAGATACATTGTTGTGGTCTTTGAAGGCATAAGAAAAAAAATGTTTTGGGTTTCTTTCAGTTTCATTTATGGCTTTTAGTCTCATTTGATTCATTTAGAGATCAGTTTCACTTTTACAATGCATTTGAAGAAGTGCTCACTTGTGGTGAAGAAAGTTTGGAGGCTTTCTGTATAAGAATTTGAATGGATTTACCTAAACGTATTAACACCAATGAGAACATTTCTTTCAATGACACGATTTTGGGATGCATGTAACATCAATTTATGTCCTCATGTTTAGAAATTCGGCTGTACGGGCACATTCTAGGACGATTCTCGTCTCCTCGTTCTACAATATTTTAAGTTTGCTGCATATATTCAACCAGTGATCTAATATAAGCAAAATATATCGTCCTAACAACTTTAACATTAGTTCCATACCTGGGACGAAACGCTTCCACAACCTAGCCACAAAAAAATCCTAGCAAGCAGGAATCAAATATGTGCCGATTTTATGGCTTGGGGGGAAAACCTAAGTAATCTCAACCTCTCTAATTGGCACCCAACTCCGGTTATAATAAGTCAGAATATAAGGACACAGAAGAGAGATGGAAATAACAAAAAAATTAAGATTTTTTTTTTTTTTGCTAAAGCATTGTGACAGAAGATTCGCGGAAGATGTAACGCTGAGCAAGGGATGGTAAATACTGTCAGTAAATACAGATCAAACTATCAGTTGCTTCACTAATTAGCCAAAAAAAAAAAGTTGAGTTAAGAATTTGTCTTCCATTTCTTATTTCTTTTCTCAGTGGCAATGTTTAGGAACTTCTTTCGAGTCATTTATCTTGCATGGAACATTTAATAACAAGATTTCCTCCCACAACTGTAGGGGCCCTAGTTTACTCTACTCTGGTTCACCTAGCAGTAAACATGGCCCTAGGAGTTAGTTGAGGGATGTTGGTCACATCTAGGAAAGCGGACCTGACCACCCCCAGCGGAAATAAGCCCTCTGGGGTTAATAGCCATAAGAAAGTCTTCTTGTTCATGAAGACAAGTACTTGAAGAAGCTTCTTACTAAGGCTCCAGGCAGGGACGACCATAGCCATGACGGAGCAGCCTGTTAAGAAGCGGAGAGTAATGAGGAGAGGGAAGAAGGTAGCCAGCGTCATGGAGACCACCACCAGCAGGTTCACCACACACGCTGCCAGCACAGCACGCCGACGACCAAATCTGTCAACATCAACAATATTGTCACTCCACACACTCATCTGTCACCATGATCACTGCAGATATCAGTGGTGGTTAGTAGAGGGAACTTGAGGGGTCTCAGCCCCCCAAAACTCCCTCAGCCCCCCCCAACCCCCACTAAATGAAAATGGTAATTTTAATAACGATGCTTGAAAATCAGTCACCACGAAGCCCACTGAATAAAAATTCTGACCCCGTCCGTATAGTGGTAGAAGAAAATATTCAAACAGCTCCGGGGAGAACCTTGAGTTTTCCTTGAGGTACGTTTATTGTCTTCTCTGAGGATGAGGGTCCCCATTCCAGCTATAAAGGTGGTACCTCCCTATATATTTTTGTAATATATATATATGTATATATATATCAATAACAACACTGCGCTAGCCAAGGATTCGAACCCATGTTGTACTGGCCTGCCTCATGGTAAGCGAGAACCACATGACGCTTTAAACCACAGGACCACCCAACCCTACAAGAATGGCGCAGCTAGCACAGAGTTAGCTGTTGGGTCGCTGGCTGTGCCATTCTTGTAGGGTTGGGTGGTCCTGTGGTTTAAAGCGTCATGTGGTTCTCGCTTACCATGAGGCAGGCCAGTACAACATGGGTTCGAACCCTTGGCTAGCGCAGTGTTGTTATTGATCAATACCACTCGTTCCTGGTTGCAATAATATATATATATATATATATATATATATATTATATATATAATATATATATATTATATATATATTATTTAACACGAACAAGTGTATTTAATCAATAAAAACACTGCGACTAGCCGAGTATTGGAACCCATGTTTTGTTTTAGCCCGTCTCATGGTGACCGAAAATTCCACGACGCTCTAACCCACGGTACCATACAATCCTGTGGTCCAGTGGGTTAGAGCGTCGTGGAATTTTCGGTCACCATGAGGCAGGCTAAAGCAACACGGATTCGAATCCTCGGCTAGTTCCAGTGTTGTTACTGATTAATGAAATCACGAAACAAGTGATTTTAAATCATTAACAAAACTGCGGCTGGCCAGGACTCGATCCTCCGTTCCCATGCCCAGCCCTGTGAGAATTGAACACAGTACGTATCACTTTATCCAATGGACCACAAATTGTCAATTCCTTTCAGTATTTTATACATCACTATCATGTTCCCCCTATCTCCTCCTATCCTCTAGTGTCATCAGATTGAGTTCCTTAACCTTTCCTCATAAGACATACCCCTCAGTTCCGGGACTAGTCTTGTTGCAAACTTTTGCACTTTCTACAGTTTCTTGACGTGTTTGACCAGGTATGGGCTCCATACTGGTGCTGTATACTGCAATATCGCCATGACGTACACGGTGTACAGCGTCGTGAATGTCTCCTTATTTAAATGTCGAAATGTTATTCTCAGGTTTGCCAGGCGCCTATATGCTGCAGCGGTTATTTGATTGATGTGCGCCTCAGGGGACGTGCTCTGTGCTCCTTAAGTAAAGTTTGCAGCCTTTGGTCCCCTGGCCTGTACTCCTGCGGTCTTCTTTGTCCTTCCCCATTCTACATGACTTTTCACTTGGTGGGGTTAAACTCCAAGAGCCATTTTTTGGACCATGCTTGCAGCCTATTCAGATCCCCTTATAATCTTACCTGATCCTCGTCCACTTGTACTCTCCTCATTAGTTTCACATCATCAGCGAAAAGGAACACCTCACATACACAAGAAACAGCACCGGACCTAGGACTGACCCTTGTGGAACCCCATTCGACACATGGGTCCACTCTGACACTTCGTCACGTACCAACACTCGTTGTTTCCTTCCTGTCAGGTATTCCCTGATACATTGCAGCACTTTCCCTGCTATTCCTGCCCACTCTTCTAGCTCTTCAACCAGTGTGGGTGTGTACTTACCTAATTGTGGTTGCAGGGGTCGAATCATACTTCCTGGCCCCGCCTTATGACTGGTCGACACTAGGTCCATTCTCTCCCTGCTCCATGAGCTTGATCGTACCTCTTCTTAAAGCTATGTATGGATCCTGCCTCCACTATATCTCTCTCCAGATTGTTCCATTTCCTGACAACTCTATGACTGAAGAAATGCTTCCTAACATCCCTGTGACTCATCTGAGTCTTCAGCTCCCAGTTGTTATGTCACATCTCTGAAACATTCCGTCTCTGTCCACCTTGTCATTTCCTCTCAGTATTTTGTATGTTGTTTTCATCCCCTTACCCCCCATCTCTCTTGTCCTCCAGTGTCATCAGGTCGATTTCCCTTAAGCTTTCCTCGTAGGACATACTCCTTAGCTCCGAGACTAGTCTTGTTGCAACTTTTGCACTTTCTCTAAATTTCTTGACCAACTTGACCAAGTGTGGGTTCCATACTGGTGCTGCATACTCCAATGTGGGCCTGACGTACACAGTGTACAGAGTCTTGAATGATTCTTTTCTAAGGTGTCGAAACGCCATTCTTAGGTTTGCCAGGCGCCCATATGCTGCAGCAGTTATTTGGTTGATGTGTGCTTCAGAAGATGTGCTCGGTATTATACTCACTCCAAGATCCTTTTCCTCGAATGAGGGTTGCAGTCATTATTATTATTATTATTATTATTATTATTATTATTATTATTATTATTATATTATCATCAAAGGGGAGCGCTAAACCCGTAGGATTATGCAACGCCTATGGGGGGAATGTGGAAGGAATTCAGGCTTAATTTAGGGAACCGGAACACAGATCCAATTCCCTAGATCAAGAGCCCCTCACCAACATCAAGGAGCCTTCCTCGAGGGGTTGGTGAGGTTGTGTATGTGTATGTGTGTGTACTCGCCTATTTGTACTCGCCTATTTGTACTCGCCTATTTGTGGTTGCAGGGGCCGAGTCCTAGCTCCTGGCCCCGCCTCTTCACCGGTTGCTGCTGGGCCCTCTCTCTCCCTGCTCCATGAGCTTTATCAAACCTCGTCTTAAAACTATGTATGGTTCCCGCCTCCACTATGTCACTTTCTAGGCTATTCCACTGCCTGACAACTCTATGACTGAAGAAATACTTCCTAATATCTCTCTGACTCATCTGTGTCTTCAACTTCCAATTGTGTCCCCTTGTTTCTGTGTCCCCTCCCTGGAACATCCTGTCTTTGTCCACCTTGTCTATTCCGCACAGTATTTTATATGTCGTTATCATGTCTCCCTGACGCTCCTCTCTTCCAGTGTCGTAAGGCCGATTTTCCTTAACCTTTCTTCGTAAGACATTCCCCTTAGCTCTGGAACTAACCTTGTCGCAAACCTTTGCACTTTCTCTAGTTTCTTGACATGCTTGATCAAGTGCGGGTTCCAAACAGGTGCTGCATACTCCAGTATGGGCCTGACGTACACGGTGTACAGTGTCTTGAACGATTCCTTACTAAGGTATCGGAACGCTGTTCTCAGGTTTGCCAGGCGCCCATATGCTTCAGCAGTTACCTGGTTGATGTGTGCTTCCGGAGACATGCTCGGTGTTATACTCACTCCATGGTCTTTCTCCTTGAGCGAGGTTTGCAGTCTTTGGCCACCTAGCCTATACTCTGTCTGTGGTCTTCTGTGCCCTTCCCCTATCTTCATGACTTTGCATTTGGCAGGGTTGAATTCAAGAAGCCAGTTGCTGGACCAGGTGTCCAACCTGTCCAGGTCTCTTTGAAGTCCTGCCCGGTCCTCATCTGATTTAATTCTCATTAACTTCACATCGTCTGAGAACAGGAACACTTCTGAGTCTAACCCTTCCATCATGTCGTTCACATATACCAAAAATAGCACTGGTCCTAGGACCGACCCCTGTGGGACCCCGCTCGTCACAGGTGCCCACTGTGATACATCATTACGTACCATGACTCGTTGTTGCCTCCTTGTCAGGTATTCTCTGATCCATTGCAGTGCCCTTCCGGTTATATGCGCCTGATCCTCTAGCTTCAGCACTAATCTCTTGTGAGGAACTGTGTCAAAGGCCTTCTTGCAGTCCAAGAAGATGCAATCAACCCACCCCTCTCTCTCGTGTCTTACTTCTGTTGCTTTATGATAAAACTCCAGAAGGTTTGTGACACAGGATTTTCCTTCCATGAATCCATGCTGGTTGTTGTTTATACTCTTGTTCCGTTCCAGGTGCTCCACCACTCTCCTCCTCTCCTGTGTGTGTGTGTGTGTGTGTGTGTGTGTGTGTGTGTGTGTGTGTGTGTGTGTGTGTGTGTAGTCACCTAATTGTACTCACCTAATTGTGGTTGCAGGGGCCGAGACTCAGCTCCTGGCCCCGCCTCTTCACCGACCGCTACTAGGTCCTCTCTCCCCCTGCTCCATGAGCTTTATCATACCTCGTCTTAAAACTATGTAAAGTTCCTGCCTCCACTACATCGCTTGCCAGACTATTCCACTTCCTAACTACTCTATGACGTGTGTGTGTGTGTGTGTGTGTGTGTGTGTGTGTGTGTGTGTGTGTGTGTGTGCTCGTGCTTGGTACATATATGTGCGTGCCTGTTCTTGTATGTTTTGTTGTGTTAGTGTCCTGGCTTGTCTGCCTCGCGTGTGTATGGCGTCGAGTAATTATCTGTTCGTAATTTCACGTTTGTAACTACAGAAACAAAGCTGGAACCGTGATCTCCAGTTTACCGTATTTATCACATTGTTTTCTTAAAGTTCCCAGTGATTATAGCAGTCATAATCTTCTCTTATCAGTGGGTGTAGCAGTCACTATCTTCTCTTATCAGTGGGTGTAACAGTCACTATCTTCTCTTATCAGTAGTTGTAGCAGTCACTATCCTATCAGTGGCTGCAGCATTCACTATTTTCTCTTATCAGGGGTTGTAACATTCACTATCTTCTCTTATCAATTACTACATTGTTTTACCATCAATTTGACAAGAAAATCCTTCTAGTATTTCTTCAGCACATCTTTCTTAGTTGGCAGAAATGGTCTTGTGTTCTCTTTGTTGATGTTGCTGGGAAATCCTAAGAAATTCATTCGCATATTTTGATGATCTTGTCAGCGGTTATCATGTCTGCTATTTTCCTGCTTTCAGCCTATGAGAGCACCTGTGATATCTTCAATATGCCTCCCTAACTTACAGCTTATAGTACTGCCACTCATTTTATACAGAGTTCAAATTTTCAATCGAGTTCGCACATTCCTTGTTCAGCAGACACAGCTTCTTGTTCAGCAGACACATCATCTTGTTCAGTAGACACATCTTGTTCAGCAGACACAGCATCTTGTTCAGCAGACACAGCATCATGTTCAGCAGACACAACATCTTGTTCAGCAGACACAGCATCTTGTTCAGCAGACACAACATCTTGTTCAGCAGACACATCAGCATGTTCAGCAGACACATCTTGTTCAGCAGACACAGCATCTTGTTCAGCAGACACAACATCTTGTTCAGCAGACACAGCATCTTGTTCAGCAGACACATCATCTTGTTCAGCAGACACAACATCTTGTTCAGCAGACACATCTTGTTCAGCAGACACAACATCTTGTTCATAGACACAACATCTTATTCAGCAGACACAACATCTTGTTCAGCAGACACATCTTGTTCATTGACACAACATCTTGTTCAGCAGACACAACATCTTGTTCGGCAGACACATCATCTTGTTCAGCAGACACATCTTGTTCAGCAGACACAGGATCTTGTTCAGCAGACACAACATCTTGTTCAGCAGACACAGCATCTTGTTCGGCAGACACATCATCTTGTTCAGCAGACACATCTTGTTCAGCAGACACAACATCTTGTTCAGCAGACACATCTTGTTCAGCAGACACAACATCTTGTTCGGCAGACACATCATCTTGTTCAGCAGACACATCTTGTTCAGCAGACACAGCATCTTGTTCAGCAGACACAACATCTTGTTCAGCAGACACAGCATCTTGTTCAGCAGACACAACATCTTGTTCAGCAGACACATCTTGTTCAGCAGACACATCATCTTGTTCAGCAGACACAACATCTTGTTCAGCAGACACATCTTGTTCAGCAGACACAACATCTTGTTCAGCAGACACAACATCTTGTTCAGCAGACACAACATCTTGTTCAGCAGACACAACATCTTGTTCAGCAGACACATCTTGTTCAGCAGACACAACATCTTGTTCAGCAGACACAACATCTTGTTCTGCAGACACAACATCTTGTTCAGCAGACACAACATCTTGTTCATAGACACATCTTGTTCAGCAGACACAACATCTTGTTCAGCAGACACATCTTGTTCAGCAGACACAACATCTTGTTCAGCAGACACAACATCTTGTTCATAGACACACCATCTTGTTCAGCAGACACATCTTGTTCAGCAGACACAACATCTTGTTCAGCAGACACATCTTGTTCAGCAGACACAACATCTTGTTCAGCAGACACAACATCTTGTTCAGCAGACACAACATCTTGTTCAGCAGACACAACATCTTGTTCAGCAGACACAACATCTTGTTCAGCAGACAAAACATCTTGTTCAGCAGACACAACATCTTGTTCAGCAGACACAGCATCTTGTTCAGCAGACACAGCATCTTGTTCAGCAGACACAGCATCTTGTTCAGCAGACACAGCATCTTGTTCAGCAGACACAGCATCTTGTTCAGCAGACACAGCATCTTGTTCAGCAGACACAGCATCTTGTTCAGCAGACACAACATCTTGTTCAGCAGACACAACGTCTTGTTCAGCAGACACAACATCTTGTTCAGCAGACACAACATCTTGTTCATCAGACACAGCATCTTGTTCAGCAGACACAACATCTTGTTCAGCAGACACAGCATCTTGTTCAGCAGACACAGCATCTTGTTCAGCAGACACAGCATCTTGTTCAGCAGACACAGCATCTTGTTCAGCAGACACAGCATCTTGTTCAGCAGACACAGCATCTTGTTCAGCAGACACAGCATCTTGTTCAGCAGACACAGCATCTTGTTCAGCAGACACAACATCTTGTTCAGCAGACACAACATCTTGTTCAGCAGACACAGCATCTTGTTCAGCAGACACAGCATTCTTGTTCAGCAGACACAGCTTTCTTGTTCAGCAGACACAACATCTTGTTCAGCAGACACAACATCTTGTTCAGCAGACACAGCATCTTGTTCAGCAGACACAGCATCTTGTTCAGCAGACACAGCATCTTGTTCAGCAGACACAGCATCTTGTTCAGCAGACACATCTTGTTCAGCAGACATAACATCTCTGTTGTGTATTAGAATCCATTTGAACTTGAACCTATGTTTTGAACAACATTTTTTTCTGCATGTCTTCATCCAAATACCTAAAAGTTATTTTAAAAATGGTGATTGATACATAAGAGTTATTCATTAATTCATGAGGTTTTCCGGTGACAGTTTTTTGTCGCTGATAACTCCCAGGTCCCTGGCTTTCTTTGATATTTTTTTTTAATATTTTCATACACAGTCTGTAATCATCGTCTGCCATTTCTGTTACATGACATTTATCCACAGTAAATTCCATTATCAATGTGCCAGTTCTTGTGCTCAGTCTAGCCAGGTCTTCCTGCAGGGATAACTCTCTTATTTTGTTCTATCTTGCATAGGTTCTTTGCATCATCCAGAACAGGTTCATTTAGTTTGCAGTTCTTTCTGTAAAATCGTTTATATAATAAACATCAGTGCCAGTAGTGGTCCTTGTGGGACCCAGCTGGTTAAATTACCTCATGATGACATTATAGCCTGATAAGGTGTGTCCGAACTTATGTGTCCTATGGGCCTTCAGATTATTGTATTCTTCATTGCTCTTTACAGTAATTTTAAAATAAAGATTTGTATTCGTATTTGTATATCATTTGCCTTGCGAACTAGATAGAGATCTCTCTCATGCATCTTAATAGATTGTATTTTATACATCATAATTTTTCTGGTTTTCAAAACAGTATCTCATGAGCAGCTAAACTAAAGATTTCTTTGAGCTCTTAATTGCAGTCTGGCAATCTATGGCGTTCTTTAATAATTCCCGCGACTCTTCCTTACTTGCTTGATAAATTTAATATACAGGAACTTGATCGACATCCGAACCGTTCATTAGTTAGGGTAATTATGCTCCCAAGTTGTTGTAGACACTTTAGTCTTTTTTCCATTAATATGACGGTAGTTGAGGGAATCCTAACTGACTTTTTTTTTTTAAGTATCGGCATAAAATGGCCTGAATATATGCGCTTGTGTTCTAGTCCCACTTGTCTGCAATGAGATATAAACTCGGTAGCCACTTTATTAGGCACACCAGTACACCTGTTCGTTAATGCAAATATCTAGTCAGCCAATCACGTGGCAGCACCCCGATGTATAGAAACATGCAGACTTGGTCAAGAGGTTCAGATGTTTATCAGACCAAGCATCAGAATAGAGAAGAAATGTGATCTAAGTAACTATGATAGTGGAATAATTTTTGGTGCAGACAGATGGAGTGGTTTGAATATCTCAGAAACTGCTGATTTCTTAGGATTTTAATCCACGACAGTCTCTATAGACAACAAGAGTTTACAGAGAATGGGGAGAAACACACACACACACACACGCAAAAAAAAAAAAAAAATCCAGCGTGCTATAATTCTGTGGGCGAACATGACTTGTTAATAAAAGTCAGAGGAGAATAGTGAGACTGGTGCCAGGTTACAGGAAGGTGACAGTAACTCAAATAACCACACGTTAAAACAGTGGTATGTGTTTCGTGTGTGAATATATATGAATGTGTAAATGCTATTTTAATGCTTTTGCATGCATATGTATGCATGCAAATGCTTCTGTATACTTTCATGCGTATAGCTTCATGTTCTCTTGTTTAAGATAGTGAGTATGTTGGTGTGTGGGTTCTCGTATTAGGTTTTGCGTGCTTGTGTGTTTGCATGCTTGTTTGATCACATGCACTTAGTCAGCAAAATGCTGTTGTGACGACTTTACCTGTCGCCGAGGTGGCCACCGATGGTGCTGCCAAGCATGCCGCCCACCGTGAAGAGTGTTTGGAAGAGAGGTCTCAGCACGCTCCTCTCACATACCAGGTCCCACTGCAACAGGTCCCACACTTGGTGCCGAAATAATTGCAACAGTCAGCAAAAGTCACAGGCCTCGAGGGCAATGGGGGTGAGAAAGAGAAATTCTACCATGATGGCTTCTCCAACGGCAAGATAACGAAATGAGGATACTAGTGATATTATGTTTTGTCTATACAGTGAACTTTATCAGGTTAATCTGAAAGTTAAGACACATGTGCAACATCTGGAAATCTTTATAAAGATTTCCAGATGTTGCACATGTGTCTTAACTTTCATATTGTCGGTATTTTATACCTTTCTTGCACAACTTGTCAGACACTGCAACATCATGGAATCTTGGTTCAGAGGACATCTACAAGACCTTCTTCACGGCTGCTGCAACTAACCCATCTCTTTGGGAAGGACCTACTTCCACTGGGGAATCCCGCCTACCAGTGACTTTGCCCTCGTCTGCTGCCTGTCCCTATCCACTGACCGCCAGTCTTCTTGCCTTTGCTCCAGATTCTCCTCCACCACGATGCTGTGAACACTAACTCCAAGGCTGAGGGACTGATTACCTCATCTTTTGTATATAGTTCTACTGTCTTCTTATTATGTCCTAGAATCTGTATTGATAAAGCCACTGGATGGCGAAACGTCTACAATAAAGATATCCGGATGTTGCACATGTGTCTTAACTTTCATATTGTCGGTATTTTATACCTTTCTTGCACAGGTTAATCTGGTTTAACGAAGCTACTGCGTGGCCGAAACGTTCCTTATAAAGTTAGACACTGCATCTAAGTCTCATTTGCTTCATCTGTTGGTATTTATATATTATTACTGTTCCCGTAACATTATTTCTGGAAATTTCAATGTATTTTTTGTGGATTCGTCCTGATTACCTATTAGCAAATGCAAATGGTATTTTATTCATTCATCTTCGCAAATAACTGTACACCTTATTTAGAGATTTTGCATTGTGATCATAGGAAAATTTGTGCAGGCTTTACTTGCTCTATTTTAGTAGGTGACTGTGGGACCTGACTCACACTATGATGGTCCCACGTAACCTCTATCAATATAGAATCAAATGAATGTGTGGTCAAGGGGCACGTAAGTTACCCGTTTTCTAATGACATGTTCATTTTTCTCCTATAATCTACCTTATCTATAATTACTATCGCATTTGCTTTGTCTGTTTCGTAAGGTGACGTCCAGGATCTTTCCTCAATTCGTGGTATAACTTAACAAATCTCGGAGGGCAATTGTGATGCAGAGGTCTGAACACAGCTCAGACCTCGTGTTATTAGAAGACGGGGGGTACTTAAATTACCCTGACTCTGAGGCTGTGACGAGGTGTGCTACACACTCCACCAAGAGCAATAAAAGACAGGCAAGTGAAAACTCTTAATCTTTCACAGGATTGTGAAAGGCTCTCTGAAATGGCAACCAAATTCACACTTTTTACAACGTTCAATGCTGATAATGTGATATTTTAAATTGTTGTGATTGTTGTAATACAAAGAGGGAGACACGTATAAACTAGTGTCACCAGAGTTAGTATTGAGAATAGAGTCAAGAAGTAATCTGAGCGACTATTTCGAATATGATTTTGGTAATACATCTAAATAGCAAAGATAAATAATTGCAAAATAAATTACTGAAAAAATATTTTGTGTGTGTCAAATATAAGTTGTATTTTATGAAATATGCCTGATAAAGTATATTAAACTATTAGGTTTTAATTAATGGGGTTGTGATGAGGCGAGGGATGAGGACGTCATCAAGAGAAGCAATCGACACCATGCCTAACCCTTCTAGGGTAGGGTAGGTGCCTGAGCCCGAGCTTTTAGCTCATAAGACTGTCATTCCCATTTGCCCCCTTGGGGCGGGGATGGCAGACCAGAGAGGCCTAGCTTGTGGCTAGGCCTGGGGACAGTTGGTCCCAAAGATGAGGAGGTGCTTGTACCTCCTCCCATGGGAGACTTAGGTCTCAGACACTCCCTAAAGAGGGAGCCAAGGCCGGGCCACCACTTGGAAAAGGCCCGGGCCGGGAGAATACCGGTCAATCTTTAACTAACTAACAAGAGAAGCAGCCAGTGTTTGTGTGTGGTGGAGAGCGTCTGGCTTTGATGTTAACTGCTGACAATTTGTAGAAATATTTATTTCAGATGTTAACCAGAAGAGTGATGGTGTTTGGGGTGAGTGTAGATTAAGTGCAGGAGAGTATTGTTTACTAGTACCGTATTTTCCGGCATATAAGGCGCACTTTTTCTCTGCAAGTCTTGGAAAATCGCCGTGTGTCTTATATGTTCAAGGTCAAGGGTAGGCTTTGGGTTAAGTTTTATCATTTGTTCACTAACGTTACATTACATCTGCTTAGAAACATTGTCTTATACGTCTCATATGATTGTGCGTCTTATATGCCGAAAAATATGGTACGTAATATGGTGTCTGGAGTGCTGGTCCAGCGTCTAGAGACTGTGCTTCTGCGATTGTTTGGTCAAGGTGTTTTGGTTGTTTTATCTAGCAGTGCGACTTGGGTGATACACAAGAGTTACTTGTGTATGACTCACTGGTGGGTTATGGTGGAGTGAGGTAGTACTGACTGTAACTGTATATAATATAGTAACGTCTGTATAGACTTAGTTTTGTAAAATAGCCTTTTATTTGCTATTCCTTATGTTTAAAGGTATAATATTTCAGCTGGTCACGTCTTCAGTGTTTTGTGAATTTGCCTGTGATGTAATCTGGCTTCAGAAGGATTTGAAAATATTTAGTTCATCTTTTCCTAGACAACTAGATAATGACCCTTAGGGGTCAGTCAACTCTTATAACATGGGAGTCTGTCAGGGAGAATTAGCTAGTGATTATAATAACTCAGTAATAAACCTGGAGTGGTCAACAGTCCTTTTTAATTAAGTCACTCCTAGTGTTCATTCTCACTGTAATGTCTAGTAGCGACTTTCGATCACAGGAGGTAATGTTAATACTTTTTTTGTGAACTGTGACAATTTCCTTTCTAGGTATAATAGTGAATATATATAAATATTTCTTTTGTCTTATAATATTATTATTATTCCTTTAAAAACTAGTATATTTTCAGTGAGTTATTTCCTATAAATAATTTCTAATATACAATATTTTTAGTTTCTAAATATTCTTTTGGTATAATAGGAATATTTATAATAAACTATTGTATATAACCTAGAGATTAATATTAAGCAGTGTTCCATAAGATTTATTGAGTAATATTTATTGAGATTTATGTTCTATGAGCATGAGTAGCGACTCGAATGCTGAGAGACCCAGGAAGGGGCATCCTGGAATGGGAACCCCTGACAAGTTTCTCTGGAAGGGATCCCCTCACATGTGCCCCTGGAAGGGACCCCCTGACAGGTGGCCCTGGAAGGGACCCATCTGACAGGTAGCTGATATTTTAGGGTTGAATTTGACTTTATTACAAAAGCAGGCAAAGATTCATACCGAAAAATATTTAGCCAGATTTAAATGTATGAAGCTGCAAGAGGTTTCATGGGAGAGGAAAGGCAACAAGAGCGAGAATTTCGTTCTCAGAATGAATTAATGGGAGTGGTAGAGCTAATTTATCCCAAAGCTTTCTTAGAGACAGATGGTTTGTCCCGCTTATTTTAAGAAGGCAGCCACGTCACAGCAATGACCCGTTGTTTAGTGGACGTCTTTAGCAACAACACAATTATTTGTTGTGTGCTACGTCTTACAGTTTTATAACTGAGAAACTGAAGGAGGTTGTTTCGCTCGTCTATCAGATGTTACTTGAGAAGTATAGATAGAAAGTTAGAGGATTGAAGTATAGGCCAGGATAATTTTTGATGTAATATTGGAAGCAGAAAATGTCGCTTCTCACCGAATGGTGGGATAAGAGAATCCGACGCGCATCCGTCACACCGTACCACATTATCATTGTTATTATTGTGATATTATTATTATTATTATTATTATTATTATTATTATTATTATTATTATATTCACAAGGATGCGCTAAGGTAAACTCCAGGTAAACCCATAGAGGTTATCCAGGTTCTGCAAAATGGGAAACATTCAAGTTTGATCCAACGAAGGGGAGAGTAGCTTAAATTCCTTTGATCAAGAGCCCTTGACCAGCATCAACAGACATACCTCTCCCCCATACCCTTCCCTTCATGGGACGTTTTACTATTAATTCCAACAAAATAATAATAAATTCCAACAGCAGATGCATTAAAAGTTTCATTTGTCAAAATTAAATTTTTGTTATCTATTTGAAATAAATTTATACGTTGAAAAAACAAATTGAATTAGTGAGTAATCTGCATGGATGACCAACTATGTGGTGGTGGCAAGACCTTGTCTGTACCTGTCTGGCTTTAGAAGTCAAACCATACCACGGGTGGTGTAGAATTATACCTAGTTGGATGAATCTTATTGTAACCAGCTGGCCCAGTGGCTAACGTGACAGTCTGGAGTTTTATGACTCTCTGACCGCGGGTTCTACCCACCCGTGGTATGCTTTGTTTGCAATCGTGTCATTACGATTTCGTGAGTCATTTAGAAGTCACTCAGGGAACAAATACCACTTTCCACAGCTGGTAATCATATAATAAATCTGTTGAAGTCTCCATTTAGTTCTTTAACAAGCTAATCAGGTAGTTTTCTCCATTTAATATTTTAAGTGTAGAAGTTCGGAGTTGGGATCACTTGCTGAACTTACTAATACACATAACTGTAGACTTCTTACCTCAGATATGACCGTAGAGGTGAACACGGAAGTGTCATACTGCACTATGGGACATGATGGAAGGCCAGTGGTGTGCCAGATCGTTGTGAGGTTGACGGGGGTCGAGGAGGGGCCCACGGAACTCGTGTCGATAATGTCAGCAGAAGCACTGGTGGTGGTGATGATTCTGATGGTGCTAGAAGCAGCATCACTGGAGGTAAGTAGTTGGGAGGTGATGTTGGAGGTATTAGCTATGGTAAGGTTGGTGGAGGTAGATGTGGTGCTGGTGGAGGTAGATGTGGTGTTGGTGAAGGTAGATGTGGTGCTGATGGTTGGGAATGAGAGACATTCTTCGTCGAAGTCCAGCGATGACGCGTCCTCCGTCCAGCTGCTGTTGCTGCTGAGTCACCATAACGATTGAACACTATTAGTCTATATTAATACAGCATAAATAAGCATATCTACACTACTGTCTATTTCCAGAAAATTAACACAAGTCTAAATAAAAACATTTCATAGTAATTAAGTTGTTCGATAAGAAATAAAAGCTAAATGTTGCTAAATCATGAGATTATTATTAATGATATGACTGAGGATAATTAAATTTTAAAGAAAACTAGCTAGTGAAAGAAAATTAAAAGATTTCTGAGAAATTGAAAATACCATGACTCAGGATATGTAAATTAAAGGAAAACCTGAAGATAATTTAGAAATCAAAACGGTTTTTAAGAATATTGTGCCTGTGAAAAACAGTAGAATATGACAATATAGAAATTTTAAATTAATGTTTAGAGAAAAAAAGTTTGAGAACAGACAATACGTTTGAGAAATAAGAATCATGGTAGTATATACAGGAGGTATGATGACAAGCTCAGTGGGAGCAAGTCATCATACAGGAGGTATGATGACATAGTGAGAGTTATCTCTTAAAGCTATGTATTAAAGCTATGTATTAAAGCTATGTATTAAAGCTATGTATTACCCCGGATAAAGAGTTGAAGGGAAGGGTTCTGGACACACCAGATATGTTTCAGATGAGGGACTCATATTTCAGATCATTATTAAGGGGCTGTGAGAGTAACAGTAAGGAAGAATACAAGAGAACGGTGGCAGTGGGTAAAGTAGAAGCAAAGTGAACTAACTCCAGGTTAACAAGTGTGAGAGGAATGAAGAACTGCTGGGTGCGAGGTGGGGGGACGAACAGAGGGGAAAAAAACGAGTAAGTCGAGGAAAAATGGTATGAGTTTTGAAAATACTGAGGCAGTGTGTGAAGCAGAGGTTTATGGTGAGGTGAACAACACTGCTGGCAAGGGACAGGACAAGATGAAACTGGTGGTCAGTAATAATATGTTGGTGTAGGAAAGTTTTTACTGTGAAAAGAACTTCACAACCAAGGCAGAGTATATGATAGACAACAGCTGTTTAATGAGAAGTAAAACCTTGCAAAAAAAAAACGATAATTAAATGAACTGGGGACTTATTATAGGAAGATAAATTGTGAGAAGAGATGGTTAAACAACTTTAAAAAACTACAGTAAGGAGAAGAGGCATCTGATGTCAGCCTGAGTCATGACACATCACCATTACTTACCTGTTGTGAGTCTGAGTCATGGATCAATATCACTCACCTAAGGTCAGGCTGGGTTATGGAACATCATTCAGCTAAGGTCAGGCTGGGTTATGGAACATCATTCACCTAAGGTCAGGCTGAGTTATGGAACATCATTCAGCTAAGGTCAGGCTGAGTTATGGAACATCATTCACCTAAGGTCAGGCTGAGTTATGGAACAATCATTCACCTAAGGTCAGGCTGGGTTATGGAACATCATTCACCTAAGGTCAGGCTGAGTTATGGAACATCATTCACCTAAGGTCAGGCTGGGTTATGGAACATCATTCAGCTAAGGTCAGGCTGAGTTATGGAACATCATTCACCTAAGCTCAGGCTGGGTTATGGAACATCATTCAGCTAAGGTCAGGCTGAGTTATGGAACATCATTCACCTAAGGTCAGGCTGGGTTATGGAACATCATTCAGCTAAGGTCAGGCTGAGTTATGGAACATCATTCACCTAAGGTCAGGCTGAGTTATGGAACATCATTCACCTAAGGTCAGGCTGAGTTATGGAACATCATTCACCTAAGGTCAGGCTGGGTTATGGAACATCATTCAGCTAAGGTCAGGCTGGGTTATGGAACATCATTCACCTAAGGTCAGGCTGAGTTATGGAACATCATTCAGCTAAGGTCAGGCTGAGTTATGGAACATCATTCAGCTAAGGTCAGGCTGGGTTATGGAACATCATTCACCTAAGGTCAGGCTGGGTTATGGAACATCATTCACCTAAGGTCAGGCTGAGTTATGGAACATCATTCAGCTAAGGTCAGGCTGAGTTATGGAACATCATTCAGCTAAGGTCAGGCTGGGTTATGGAACATCATTCACCTAAGGTCAGGCTGGGTTATGGAACATCATTCACCTAAGGTCAGGCTGAGTTATGGAACATCATTCACCTAAGGTCAGGCTGGGTTATGGAACATCACTTACCTAAGGTCAGGCTGGGTTATGGAACATCATTCACCTAAGGTCAGGCTGAGTTATGGAACATCACTTACCTAAGGTCAGGCTGGGTTATGGAACATCATTCACCTAAGGTCAGGCTGAGTTATGGAACATCATTCAGCTAAGGTCAGGCTGAGTTATGGAACATCATTCACCTAAGGTCAGGCTGGGTTATGGAACATCATTCACCTAAGGTCAGGCTGAGTTATGGAACATCATTCAGCTAAGGTCAGGCTGAGTTATGGAACATCATTCACCTAAGGTCAGGCTGGGTTATGGAACATCATTCAGCTAAGGTCAGGCTGGGTTATGGAACATCATTCACCTAAGGTCAGGCTGAGTTATGGAACATCATTCAGCTAAGGTCAGGCTGAGTTATGGAACATCATTCACCTAAGGTCAGGCTGGGTTATGGAACATCATTCAGCTAAGGTCAGGCTGGGTTATGGAACATCATTCACCTAAGGTCAGGCTGAGTTATGGAACATCATTCAGCTAAGGTCAGGCTGAGTTATGGAACATCATTCAGCTAAGGTCAGGCTGGGTTATGGAACATCATTCACCTAAGGTCAGGCTGGGTTATGGAACATCATTCACCTAAGGTCAGGCTGAGTTATGGAACATCATTCAGCTAAGGTCAGGCTGAGTTATGGAACATCATTCAGCTAAGGTCAGGCTGGGTTATGGAACATCATTCACCTTAGGTCAGGCTGGGTTATGGAACATCATTCACCTAAGGTCAGGCTGAGTTATGGAACATCATTCACCTAAGGTCAGGCTGGGTTATGGAACATCACTTACCTAAGGTCAGGCTGGGTTATGGAACATCATTCACCTAAGGTCAGGCTGAGTTATGGAACATCACTTACCTAAGGTCAGGCTGGGTTATGGAACATCATTCACCTAAGGTCAGGCTGAGTTATGGAACATCATTCAGCTAAGGTCAGGCTGAGTTATGGAACATCATTCACCTAAGGTCAGGCTGGGTTATGGAACATCATTCACCTAAGGTCAGGCTGAGTTATGGAACATCATTCAGCTAAGGTCAGGCTGAGTTATGGAACATCATTCACCTAAGGTCAGGCTGGGTTATGGAACATCATTCAGCTAAGGTCAGGCTGGGTTATGGAACATCATTCACCTAAGGTCAGGCTGAGTTATGGAACATCATTCAGCTAAGGTCAGGCTGAGTTATGGAACATCATTCACCTAAGGTCAGGCTGGGTTATGGAACATCATTCAGCTAAGGTCAGGCTGGGTTATGGAACATCATTCACCTAAGGTCAGGCTGAGTTATGGAACATCATTCAGCTAAGGTCAGGCTGAGTTATGGATCATTCAGCTAAGGTCAGGCTGAGTTATGGAACATCATTCAGCTAAGGTCAGGCTGAGTTATGGAACATCATTCACCTAAGGTCAGGCTGGGTTATGGAACATCATTCACCTAAGGTCAGGCTGGGTTATGGAACATCATTCACCTAAGGTCAGGCTGAGTTATGGAACATCATTCACCTAAGGTCAGGCTGGGTTATGGAACATCATTCACCTAAGGTCAGGCTGAGTTATGGAACATCATTCACCTAAGGTCAGGCTGGGTTATGGAACATCACTTACCTAAGGTCAGGCTGGGTTATGGAACATCATTCACCTAAGGTCAGGCTGAGTTATGGAACATCACTTACCTAAGGTCAGGCTGGGTTATGGAACATCATTCACCTAAGGTCAGGCTGAGTTATGGAACATCACTTACCTAAGGTCAGGCTGGGTTATGGAACATCATTCACCTAAGGTCAGGCTGGGTTATGGAACATCATTCACCTAAGGTCAGGCTGAGTTATGGAACATCACTTACCTAAGGTCAGGCTGTTTTATGGAACATCATTCACCTAAGGTCAGGCTGGGTTATGGAACATCATTCACCTAAGGTCAGGCTGGGTTTACCTGGAGTTTACCTGGAGAGAGTTCCGGGGGTCAACGCCCCCGCGGCCCGGTCTGTGACCAGGCCTCCTTAGGTCAGTGTCCCAGGATGCTACCCACACCAGTCGACTAACACCCAGGTACCCATTTTACTGATGGGGAACATAGACAACAGGTGGAAAGAAACACGTCCAATGTTTCTACTCTGGCTGGGAATCGAACCCAGGCCCTCACCGTGTAAAGCGAGAGCGTTAACGGTTATGGAACATCATTCACCTAAGGTCAGGCTGGGTTATAGATCAACATCATTCACCTAAGGTCAGGCTGGGTTATAGATCAACATCATTCATCTAAGGTCAGGCTGGGTTATAGATCAACATCATTCACCTAAGGTCAGGCTGGGTTATAGATCAACATCATTCACCTAAGGTCAGGCTGGGTTATGGAACATCATTCACCTAAGGTCAGGCTGGGTTATGGAACATCATTCACCTAAGGTCAGGCTGGGTTATGGATCAACATCACTCACCTAAGTGTCATGTGGGTTTTCGATACGTGGATGGGTAAAAATACTCACGTAGGCTGGTAGTACGTATAATATATAACGGGAAGTATGGAAAGCGCCAACAGCCGACCTGCCTCTCTCTGCTGCCTCTCTTCGACTGACCCATAGTGGTTACGGGTGAGGGTGTTTGAAATCCTGCTATGGTCAGCAGCAATATGAATACAGTCAATGATTCACACAGACGGTTGGTAGTGAGTCATCTACTGGTACACTGGTTACTGGTAACTGGTTACTAGGAACTGGTACTACTACTGAGAGCTCGGCAACGCTGTTCCTAGTAACCAGTTACCAGTAACCAGTGTACTACTACTGAGATATGGTCAGGCTGGGTTATGGAACATCATTCACCTAAGGTCAGGCTGAGTTATGGAACAACATCATTCACCTAAGGTCAGGCTGAGTTATGGATCATCACTCACCTAAGGTCAGGCTGAGTTATAGAACATCAATCACCTATGGTCAGGCTGGGTTATGGAACATCACTTACCTAAGGTCAGGCTGGGTTATGGAACATCACTCACCTAAGGTCAGGCTGGGTTATGGAACATCACTCACCTAAGGTCAGGCTGGGTCATGGAACAACATCACTCACCTAAGGTCAGGCTGGGTCATGAAACATCACTCATCTAAGGTCAGGCTGGGTCGTGGAATATCACTCACCTAATGTCAGGCTGGGTCATGGAAAAACATCACTCACCTAAGGTTAGGCTGGGTCATGGAACAACGGAAGGGTAGTGGAGCACTGAGCAGTGGTGATCCGATCAGGTGGACTGAGAACTGGGACAAGGCTGTCAGGGTGAAGAACAGTGTTAGTGACAGCTCTCACCCCTACAACACTCACATGAATGAAACAAATGATTGGTTTAGTAAGTTTAAAAACCTAAGTGAATGTATAGGAGCCTTTGAACCAAGTGAGAGAGTAATTGTGGTAGGGGACCTGAATGCTAAAGTAGGAGAAACATTTAGAGAGGGTGTGGTAGGTAAGTTTGAGGTGCCAGGTGTAAATGATAATGGGAGCCCTTTGATTGAACTTTGTATAGAAAGGGGTTTAGTTATAGGTAATACATATTTTAAGAAAAGAGGATAAATAAGTATACACGATATGATGTGGGCGAAATGACAGTAGTTTGTTGGATTATGTTTTGGTAGATAAAAGACTGTTGAGTGGGACTTCAGGATGTACTGTTTATAGAGGGGCCACAGATATATCAGATCACTTTTAGTTGTAGCTACACTGAGAGTAAAAGGTAGATGGGATACAAGGAAAATTTAGAAGCATCAGGGAAGAGAGAGGTGAAGGTTTATAAACTAAAAGAGGAGGCAGTTAGGGAAAGATATAAACAGCTATTGGAGGATAGATGGGCTAATGAGAGCATAGGCAATGGGGTCGAAGAGGAATGGGGTAGGTTTAAAAATGTAGTGTTAGAGTGTTCAGCAGAAGTTTGTGGTTACAGGAAAGTGGGTGCAGGAGGGAGGGGGAGCGATTGGTGGAATGATGATGTAAAGAGAGTGTAAGGGAGAAAAGTTAGCATATGAGAAGTTTTTACAAAGTAGAAGTGATGAAAGGGGGGAAAGAGTATATGGAGAAAAAGAGAGGTTAAGAGAGTGGTGAAGCAATGTAAAAAGAGAGCAAATGAGGAGTGGGTGAGATGTTATCAACAAATTTTGTTGAAAATAAGAAAAAGTTTTGGAGTGAGATTAACAAGTTAAGGAAGCCTAGAGAACAAATGGATTTGTCAGTTAAAAATAGGAGGGAGAGTTTTTAAATGGAGAGTTAGAGGTATTGGGAAGATGGGGGGAAAATTTTTGAGGAATTGTTAAATGTTGATGAAGATAGGGAAGCTGTGATTTCGTGTATGGGGCAAGGAGGAATAACATTTTGTAGGAGTGAGGAAGAGCAGTTGTGAGTGGGGGGGAAGTTCGTGAGGCAGTAGGTAAAAGAAAGGGGGTAAGGCAGCCGGGATTGAGGGGATAAAGATAGAAATGTTAAAAGCAGGGGGATATAGTTTTGGAGTGGTTGGTGCAATTATTTAATAAATGTATGGAAGGGGTAAGGTACCTAGGGATTGGCAGAGAGCATGCATAGTTCCTTGTATAAGGCAAAGGGGATAAAAAGGAGTGCAAAAATTATAGGGGGATAAGTCTTTTTGAGTGTACCCGGTAAAGTGTATGGTAGAGTTATAATTGAAAGAATTAAGAGTAAGACGGAGAATAGGATAGCAGATGAACAAGGAGGCTTTAGGAAAGGTAGGGGGTGTGTGGACCAGGTGTTTACAGTGAAACATATAAGTGAACAGTATTTTGATAAGGCTAAAGAGGTCTTTGTGGCATTTATGGATTTGGAAAAGGCGTATGACAGGGTGGAAAGGGGGCAATGTGGCAGATGTTGCAAGTAATGGTGTAGGAGGTAGGTTTTCTGAAAGCAGTTTAAGAGTTTTTACGAGGATTGTGAGACTCAAGTTAGAGTATGTAGGAAAGAGGGAAATTTTTTCCCCGTAAAGTAGGCCTTAGACAAGGATGTGTGATGTCACCTTGGTTGTTTAATATATTTATAGATGGGGTTTTAGAGAATAAATGCGAGGGTCTTGGCAAGAGGCGTGGAGTTAAAAGATAAAGAATCACACACAAAGTGGGAGTTGTCACAGCTGCTCTTTGCTGATGACACTGGTGCTCTTGGGAGATTCTGAAGAGAAGCTGCAGAGATTGGTGGATGAATTTGGTAGGGTGTGCAAAAGAAAAAATTAAAGGTGAATACAGGAAAGAGTAAGGTTATGAGGATTAACAAAAAGATTAGGTGAGAAAGATTGAATATCAGATTGGAGGGAGAGAGTATGGAGGAGGTGAACGTATTCAGATATTTGGGAGTGGACGTGTCAGCGGTGGGTCTATGAAAAATGAGGTGAATCATAGAATTGATGAGGGAAAAAGAAATGAGTGGTGCACTTAGGAGTTGTGGAGACAAAGAACTTTGTTTCCCTTTGGGGGCAAAAGGGGATGTATGAGAGTATAGTTTTACCAACGCTCTTTATATGGGTGTGAAGCATGGTTGATGAATGTTGCAGCGAGGAGAAGGCTGGAGGCAGTGGGGATGTCATGTCTGAGGGCAATGTGTGGTGTGAATATAATGCAGAGAATTCGTGTTTGGAAGTTAGGAGGAGGTGCGGGATTACCAAAAAATGTTGTCCAGAGGGCTGAGGAAGGGTTGTTGAGGTGGTTCGGCATGTAGAGAGAATGGAGCGAAACAGAATGATTCAAGAGTGTATCAGTCTGTAGTGGAAGGAAGGCGGGGTAGGGGGCGCCCAGGAAGGGTTGGAGGGAGGGGGTAAAGGGGTTTTGTTGTCCCAGGGGTTGGACTTCCAGCAGGCATGCGTGGCGTGTTTTGATAGGAGTTAATGGAGACAAATGGTTTTTAATACTTTACGTGCTGTTTGGAGTGTGAGCAAAGTAACATTTATGAAAGGGTTCAGGGAAACCGGCAGGCCGGACTTGAGTCCTGGAGATGGGAAGTACAGTGCCTGCACTCTGAAGGAGGGGGGTTAATGTTGCAGTTTTTAAAAACTGTAGTGTAAAGCACCCTTCTGGCAAGACAGTGATGGAGTGAATGATGGTGAAAGTTTTTCTTTTTCGGGCCACCCTGCCTTGGTGGGAATCGGCCAGTGTGATAATAAAAAAAATATATATATATATATATATTTCTTTCTTTCAAACACACCGGCCGTATCCCACCGAGGCAGGGTGGCCCAAAAGGAAAAACGAAAATTTCTCCTTTTACATTTAGTAATATATACAGGAGAAGAGGTTACTAGCCCCTTGCTCCCGGCATTTTAGTCGCCTCTTACAACACGCATGGCTTACGGAGGAAGAATTCTGTTCCACTTCCCCATGGAGATAAGAGGAAATAAACAAGAATAAGAACTAGAAAGAAAATAGAAGAAAACCCAGAGGGGTGTGTATATATGTGCTTGTACATGTATGTGTAGTGTGACCTAAGTGTCCTAAGTGTAAGTAGAAGTAGCAAGACGTACCTGAAATCTTGCATGTTCATGGGACAGAAAAAGGACACCAGCAATCCTACCATCATGTTAAACAATTACAGGCTTTCGTTTTACACTCACTTGGCAGGACGGTAGTCACCTCCCTGGGCGGTTGCTGTCTACCAACCTACTACCTAGAATATATATATATATATATATATATAATATATATATATATATATATATATATATAATATATATATATATATATATATATATATATCACATCCATTGTTGCCTGGAGAAAGGCTATATTTACCTTCAACACGCTATGATCTTTATTGACATTTGGAGCTTAATACAAATTTGTGGAGTCCTTGGTTGTTCCAGATCAATACACCGGAATATTCTGTTGTATTGATCATACTGGGGTGGAGGTGTTGTTGGTGAGGGGGGGTGGAGGTGTTGTTGGTGAGGGGGGGTGGAGGTGGTGGTGGCGAGCAGGTGGTGGTTGTTGACGGGGTGGTGGTGGTTGAGGGGGTGTGGTGGTGGAGGTGGTTGAGGGGGATGGTGGTGGAGGTGGTGGTTGTTGAGGGGGTGGTTGTTGAGGGCTGGTGGTGGAGGTGGTGGTGTTGAGGGGGTAGTTGTGGTGGTGGTGGTTGTTGAGGAGGTGGTTGTTGAGGGGCTGGTGGTTGAGGTGGTGGTTGTTGAGGGCTGGTGGTTGAGGTGGTGGTTGTTGAGGGGCTGGTGGTGGAGGTGGTGGTTGTTGAGGGGGTGGTTGTGGTGGTGGTTGTTGTTGAGGGGTGGTGGGGTGTGGTGATGGTTGTTGAGGGGTGGTGGGGTGTGGTGGTAGTTGTTGAGGGAGGGAAGTGGTGGTTGTTGAGGGGTGGTGGGGTGTGGTGGTGGTTGTTGAGGGGGTGGTTGTGGTGGTGGTGGTTGTTGAGGGGTGGTGGGGTGTGGTGGTAGTTGTTGAGGGAGGGAAGTGGTGGTTGTTGAAGGGGTGGTGGTGGTAGTGGTTGGTGAAGGTTGTGGTAGTGGTTGTTGAGGGGGTTGTGGTGGTTGTGAAGGTTGTGGTAGTGGTTGTTGAGGGGGTGGTGGTGGTTGTGAAGGTTGTAGTGGTGGTTGTTGAGGGGGTGGTGGTGGTGGTGGTTGTTGAGGGGGTGATAGTGGTGGTGTTGAGGGGGTGGTGGTGTCGGTGGTTGTAGTGAAGGTTGTGATAGTGGTTGTTGAGGAGGTGGTGGTGGTGGTTGTTGAGGGGGTGGTGGTGGTGGTTGTTAGAACATAAGAACATAAGAATGAAGGAACACTACAGCAGGCCTACTGACCCATGCGAAGCAGGTCCATGTCCCCCCCCCCCCGGATTAGCCCATTGACCCACCTAGTCAGGTCACTTCCACTTAAGGAAGGAGCAAGGCATCAGACCTAGTAGCATAAGCTATTCAGATCCAACTCACACCCACCCACACCCACTCACGTATTTATCTAACCTATTTTTAAAACTACACAAGGTCTTAGCGTCTATGACGGTACCGGGAGTTTGTTCCACTCATTCACAGCTCTATTACCAAACCAGTGCTTTCCTATATCCTTCCTGAATCTGATCTTTTCCAACTTGAAACCATTGGAAATATAAACACAATGGAAATATAAACCATTGATGATTGAAATATAAACCATTGCTGCGAGTCCTGTCTTGGCTGGAAATTTACAGCACGCTATTTAAATCCCCTTTATTTATTCCTGTTTTCCATTTATACACCTCGATCATATCTTCCCTAATTCTACGCCTTTCTAGAGAGTGCAGATTCAGGGCC